CCCTGCTTCAAAAGTCGCTGATTCACTGGCCGTTACTTTAGATGATAATAAGGAACCCCTCCCAGCCCCTCTGAGAGATATTGGGTTAAAAAGACACAATGGTGCTCTAGGAGGAGATTCAGGTGATAAGGTGACATCATGAATGGCCTAAAATCTGATCAGCTCATTTTCAGAAAGGTTTTCATATAAATGGATCAGAACAAAAAGTGAGCAAATCTTTTTTCTTGAAACTTTCAGAATCTCTTTACAAGAGGGGACACATGTTGATGTAGAAAATACATGAAAAAGTGGATTTTGCATGATATGTCCCCTTTGACATGTCTTTCCTCTCTGTTTCTTTATATGATATGAATAATAAAGCTAGAAATATGGAAATAATTCGGCTGTGATCGTAGCAACATCGGGCCATTCGTGAGGGCATCTAAGCCATCCTATGACCGCTGGTGGAGATTCTCAGGCTCCGGCAGCAACTTTGTGAGCGGCAACTTTGTAAGGCACACTTGTTATCATCGGTGCCATCGGGCATTCACCCTCACTCTGATCGCTGCGAATGCCCGATGGCACCGATGATAACACGATGCTCTCACGATGCTCTCACGATGGCCTTACGAAGGGCAAAATTGACACACGAATTCAACACGAAAATCGCAAGGTCCTTCGGCAATTTTTTGGCATGCCAAAGATTTTGCCACCGCTCACAAAGTTGCTGCCGGAGCCTGAGAAACTCCACCAGCGGTCATACGATGGCTTAAGATGCCCTCACGAATGGCCCGATGTTGCTACGATCAGAGCCGAATTTGAACATTTCCTTTATCGTGTGTCCATCGGGTTGTTTTATTGCACAACAAAATCATGTAAACATATTATGTAAATAACCCAATTTGTGTTCTGTGAAACTGAAAAGGACATAATATATTATTTTGAAGGCGAGTTGGCAGGAAGTTGTTGTTGCTATGGAAACAACATTACGGAGAAAACTTAATATATTCTACATATAAAGACGGAGAAAGTAAAGAACAAAGTCTGAAAATATTAGTACAGTATCATAGTACTTTAACATAATTGTTTTTGTTACTTTTGTTGCAGTTGTATGTCTTAAATGTAATGTAAATGTTGCCTTCGTGTGTGGTTCCGGGCCATCTTCGCGCGAAATTCACAATTCAATATTCGTGTGTCCATCGGGTGTACATTTCGGGACAGTGTGACAGGGGCTTTACTAAAAATAAAACTCACTTCTCTTCTGCTTTAATGTGCTCTCCTTGTTGCTTTGTGATGCAATGTTGAAGTGTAATGTATCTAAATCTCCCAAATAACAAATGTGTATTTTTAAGAGAGGAACACTCTTGAATGTCCTGCTGTAAATGACATGATAAAATCAAATCCATATAAAGAGAACAAATGGCATTAATGCAAAAATGGTTATCATACAAAAGCAGGCATTCTAATTTGTTCTGGTCACTTCCAGAGCAGGCTTGGGCCCCTTGTTTAGTTATAAATCTTTGTTTTTGACCATAGTGCTTACGTGATGCCTCTGAGCTGGTCGATGCGTCTTCCTCTGCAGTATCTTCATCTTCCTCTTCCTCCTCCTCCTCCTCATTCTCCGTTATCTCCGGCTCCTCTCCCTCTGGGTTGGGATCCACCCATCGTCCAGGAATGAGAAAAGCTGAGTCATAGGAGTTGCAAAGCGGCCCCACAATGTGTGTGATGAACGACTCCTGGAGTTTGGCCAACTGTGGTGCCGCTCGGTCCATGAAGGGGCTGATGGGAAGTCCCTGGCTGGACTCCTCGTCGCCCTACATAAAGCATGAACCACATTAGTGCATGAAGGCCAATACATGGCGTGACTCACATTTCAATACTTCAGTCATCAGGCCGGAGGGAACACGTGGGATAGATGTCACGCTTATCAATGTCCAAGCTGTTTGCTTTTCGATCCAAAACCCACAATGTATAGAAGGGGCCTGCTACACCTATAAGTAAGTATCAGAATGGCGTTATCATTTATTTACATGGTTTCTGACCGATACAAACACAAGAAGGCAGTGACCTTTAGCTGCTGTAGCAATAATAAAGGAAGTAAAAGAGGAAGTCCGGTAACTGTGTGTAGACAGAGGAAGTCCAATTGGTGGGATCGGGAGGGAGAGGTCAAACGAACATAGCAATTTACCCAAGAGTATATCTGTTTTTAGCCTGGGTGAAACCAAAATTCTCAATTTATTTTAACAAACGTAGCCTTGGTGATCAAATGGATATAACATGCATAATTGCTTTCCCTTACCTGTAGTGTGTTATACAGATTTTTGTAAATAGTCTGAAAAACGCTTAAATCCCAAATTTCCCCTCGAGGGAGTTTCTCTAGACTTCACTCAAACTCTACAAAACCCTTTCTTAAAGTTAGATATTTACCTTCTCACCTAATAGTGGGTGCAGTTTGGCTCTTTTGAAGAATAAGAATAGTAAACAATTGATACTGGAAATGTACCTGCCTGATAACATTTGAAACAGCTAAATAAAGAATATATGAAGGCTGTGGAGCAGCAGCATGTGTGTGTGTCGGTGATGTCTTTATCGATGGCAACGAAGAACAGCTATAGCAAGGTTTCCTCATTGCCTTGGTAACTGACCTCACGTATCATCCCATACAGTTCACAGTAGCAAGCCTTTGTTCCTGTTCAGTCTAATGTACAGCACAATAACAGGCATCAAAAGGCGGTATCTGGGATCGATCTGCTACTTGTTGGTAAAGTGATATCAGTTGGATGTTAACTTGTGTTGCATTGTATTTATCGTTAAACTTTAACCAATGCATTTAGCAAAGTATATTTATTTTCATTTTATAACAATTATTATAATTAATGTGTTTTGAGGAGGTTTGAGTATGGTTTTGTATGTTATTATGTTTTACATGTAGGGGTGTGGGGAGCCATGGCAATGTTAAGTGATAATACATCTACCTTATATGTTATATGTTGTTTCACTGCTAGGTTCATATTTTATTTTTCTCAATAAAACATAGGAGAAGCTGCTCTGAGATCCAGCTTCCTACTTCCTAAAAATATGTATTGCAAGGTTAGCTTTCCCAAATCAATATGTCATGTCTTTGAGATAAGCTATCCAAATAAATAAGACTGCTCATATTTGGTAGTAGGATTTACAATATATATATATTACTCTTATATAAACTGAACAAAAATATAAACGCAACACTTTTGTTTTTGCTCCCAGTTTTCATGAGATGAACTCAAAGATCTAAAACATTTTCTATATACACATAATAACCATTTCTCTCAAATATTGTTCACAAATCTGAAAAGATCTGTGATAGTGAGCACTTCTCCTTTGCCGAGATAATCCATCCCACCTCACAGGTGTGGCATATCAAGATGCTGATTAGACAGCATGATTATTGCACAGGTGTGCCTTAGGCTGGCCACAATAAAAGGCCACTCTGAAACGTGCAGTTTTGCTTTATTGGGGGGGTTTGGGGGGTCCTAACCTGTTACCCACTGACATGTTAGGGTTAGGGTTAAACCTGTCTGGTTAAACCCTAAAACATTTTTTAATGTGTCAGTGGGTGACATGTTAGGGTTAGGGTTAGGGTTAAACCTGACTGGTTTTCAG